ACTTTGCTAATTCCTTTATTCACAATTTTTATAAACCTACAAATAACAGAATAATTGACTTTCTAATCTATATACTATTGCAATTAAGATATCAATAATCTTACGTTGGTGGTGGTGGTGCTGGATTTTCCATACCCATCGTTGGCATTTCTAATAATAATGTTTTCAACGCATGAACGTCGAGTAGCATCTGTGAATAAAACTCTGATGTTAATCTATGTATGAATATTGACTGTCTTCGATAACGATAAATGTACCTGTTCTGCTCCTACTTCAGATATTGGCTTGCATTTTATTAAATGATTTGTAAATTTAATGACAAACGATCTGCACAAGCCGAATGTAAAAAATCAATTATCAAATTATCAAGCATCGAATTACCGAAATTTTAATAAATACTTACTCTACAAATTTGTCACAGAATGTTCTAAAGTACCGGTTATTGGTGATATCTTTATGAACACCGACAACACAGCTTAACATTGTTCTATTGAATAGAGTGACATATTCTGATTGATCCCCAACCGATTCTAGATTACTCCACGGTAATTTGGTCATAGCTACAAGTGCAGGATCATAGGACGACTCTATCCCGCGGATCAATGCTCTAACAGATGTAGTTACCACGCTACAATCCGAATCATATTAATTTTCGTTTACTAAAGTACAAGTGCAAAAACAAAATGACTCTTACTTTAGGAAATGATTACGTTCTTCATCAAAATTTATTTTTTCTTTATATTCTTCGTCTATCGTATCTTTTAATTTATCTTCAAGCTATATTTATGTCAAAAGTAGAATAAAGTCAAAATAAAATCAAGCCAAAAGGATATTATATAATCAGATACTAAAAAATCCATCTATACCTGTGAAGTTGTAACATAACAATAATCTGCTGTATTAATTATAAAACATATCAATTTTAGTTCATCACGAGTAATTGCTCGGCGTTCTTCCCTATAAGTAATTATGTTAACTGTGAAAAACGCGAATAATTTAAACAAAAAAAATGATGCAGTCAAAGCTTGATATAGCAAAGTCCACATTTCTAATCTAATGCCTTTGATAAATAAAAATATTCGTTTATCAGAAGACAAATTCATATGTTCAAGCACATTTTTTAATGCAAAAAAAGAAAAAAAAATTCGCTATGTAAAAATCCTTATCTCAAGCTTTAACTGTATATAATATTATCGTGTTAATACTCAACGTACTTTGGAAGTCTTCCTATCAAAACTTCACTAGCATAGACGCGAAGCCATTTAGCAAACATATTACATAAATCATAAAAGGGTTGTCGAGTTGATAATTTTGCACAATTAGTAAGTGTTTCACGATAAAAGTAGAATAAGTCTATGCTCGATTGCAACACTGAAGATGAAACGTCTTCATCCGGGAGTGCTTCCGTGTGATATGAATTAATCATTCCTGATAATGTACTATATTATAATAATTTAATAAAAATGATCATGGCAATAGAAAAGAATAAAAAAGTGTAAAAGCGTACCTATCCTCCGCTTCAATATAAAGCCCTAGATAAGGCTCAAATGCCGTGGATATAGTTTTACTAAAATTATGTTGTGTGTGATCTGTACTAGATGTTCGATATTTATCCTAAAATTTATTTATTTATCTTATAAGTTACGTTCTTAGCTGCAACTAGTATATAGATTAGAAAGTCAATTATTCTGTTATTTGTAGGTTTATAAAAATTGTGAATAAAGGAATTAGCAAAGT